GCTGCTGGGCATTTCAATGCGCCGTACTTCGCCGTCCGGCGGCGATGGTCGATATCGTCGGCAGCGGCCAGGGCATCACCTGCCGCAGACCGCCTGCCGCTCGGCGATCGAGGCGTTGGCCGCCTTGTGGCTGGGGCCGGAGCCCGTGGTTGCTGCTGACCGACGATGCCAGCGACGATTGGGTGCTGGAGCCAGGGCCCGGCTGGCGACGCCTTGTGCGCTGGAATGATGTCAGCCATCGTCAGGTCGCACTGGCGGTACGCGGCCTGAGGCCGAGACGATCCTCGCCAGCGGCTGCGCGCCGCTCGACCTGTCGCTGGCGGGGCTTCCCGGAGGGATGTGCACCCGCACCATGTACGACAAGGCGGAGATCGTGCTGTGGCGGCTGGGCCCCCGATGCGCCTTCATATCGAGGTGTGGCGGTCCTTCGCGCGTTATGTCGAGGAACTGCTGAGGCGTCGCGGAGCACGAGGTCTGAGACGATGCTGGGCGTCCGCGACCTGTTCCGTCGGCATCGGGCCGTCATCCTCGCATACCGTAGGGCTGATGAAGGCGGCGCACAGCTTCGCCGAGGCGTTGCGCGGGCGGCATTTCGTGCGGGTGCAATGCGACCTGCTGGGCTCGCTGGCACGGACGGGGACGGGCCATGCGCGACCGACCGGGCGGTGATGCTGGGACTGGCGGGATCCCGCCCGACACGATCGCGCCGGAGCATCGGGAACAGATCGTCGAACAGGCGCGTAGCGAGCGTCGTCTGGTCGTCGGCGGACGCACGATCGGTTTCGATGCCGACGCCGATATCGTGTTCGACCGGGCGGGCGAGACGCCGGTTCATCCTCAATACGTTGCGCCTGACCGCTTTCGATGGCGACGGGCGGAGGTGCTGGCTGAGCGCTGGTGTTCGATCGGCGGCGGCTTCATCGCGCCGGAGGATATGGTCGGCGATCCGGCGCTGGACGATGAGGAAGTGGCGCCGCCTTTCCTGTTCCGCACGGGTGCCGAACTGCTGGCGATCTGTGCCTGTCACGGGCTGGAGTATTGCCGAGGTGATGCGCGCCAATGAGCTGGCCCGCACCTCGGAAGCCGAGCTGGACGCCTATCTCGGACCGGGTGATCGAGGTGATGATGACCTGCATCGACCATGGGATGCAGGCCGAAGGCATCTTGCCCTGGCGCTTGAAGGTGCCGCGCCGGGCGCGGGCCTTGCCAGAAACTGGAGGGCGACCGCTTCCGCAACCGGCAGGCGCCGCACAGCATCATGGACCATGTCAGCCTGTTCGCCATCGCCGTGAACGAGGAGAATGCGGCGGGCGGTCGGGTCGTCACCGCGCCGACCAATGGCGCGGCGGGCGTGGTGCCTCGGTACTCCGTTACTATCGCGACTTCTGGGCTGTGCGCGGATCGGGCGGGGAAATGCATGCCTTCCTGCTGACGCCAGCGCCATCGGCGTGCTGACCAAGCTCAACGCCCCATCTCTGGCGCGGAGGTGGGGTGCCGGGGCGAGGTCGGTACCGCCAGCGCCATAGCCCGCCGCCGGGCTTGCCGCCGCGATGGCGCGACCGACCGTCAGGTAGAGAATGCCACGAGATCGCGATGGAGCATCATCTCGGCATGACCTGCGATCCGATCGCTGGGGCTGGTGCAGGTCCCCTGTATCGAGCGCAACGCGTTCGGCGCGGTCAGGCGATCAACGCCGCCTCGCTGTCGTTGCGCGGCGACGTATAACTTATATCGTCTCGCTCGACCAGGTCATCGAGACGATGATGCGCTACCGGCACGGACATGCATGCGAAGTATAAGGAAACCCTCGCAGGGCGGTCTGGCCGTCAGTTTCCGAATGTTGACCCCAATCTTGCTGGCGGGGTGATGATGACCGAAGACGAATCTATGCTGCCTTCCAGCGCGAAGGCATCGCGTTCGAAAAGCTGGACATCCCGCGGTCTTCACCGTCGAGGAGAGCGCGGACATCCATGCCCGCGCCGCCCGGCGCGCATGCCAAGAACCTGTTCCTGAAGGACAAGCAGAAGCGTTTCTGGCTGGTCGTTCTGCCGTATGATCGCCGCGCCGACCTGAAGGGCATGGCCGAGCGGCTAGGAGGCGGGCAAATTCTCCTTCGGCAAAGCCGAGGATGGAGCGCCTGCCGCAAGTGACGCCGGGTGCGGTCACGCCGCTGGCGATCGCCAATGTGACGCCGGGCGATGTCGCTGGTCTTCGACGAAAGTTTCCGTTCGGATATTTCGATTGCCGTCCATCCGCTCCGCAATACCGCGACCGTCGCGCTGCCTTTCGTCCTGTTGAAGGTATGGCTGGAAAAGCTCGGCCATGACGTACGGGTCGTCACCCTGCCCTGACTAGGGCCATTGAGACTAATCCCTCAGTACACCTGACGGGCAGTATCTCGGATTGGGCGGGGATGCTGCCCCTTTTTTATGCGCTGCACAATTTTTTATTCAAAATGTCACGAGCCCGTGATATCTTTTTTATTGGTGACGCATTTGTGACCTCGCATGTCGCACTTCTGATGGGTGATGGTTGCCCGCCAGGTCCTCTCCTCCTCGTGAGATCGGCCGGACATCGAACCGCGCTGACCGCGAGCGAAATCCGAACGAGAGGATCGAGAGCCATGAGCAGGAATCGAGGCGTCGTTTATGTCGCACCGGGCAAGGTCGAAGTGCGCGGCATCGATGATGCGAAATTGCAGGCCCCGGACGGTCGCCGCATCGAGCATGCGGTGATCCTGAAAGGTCATCTCCACCAATATCTGCGGGTCGGACCAGCATATGGTGCGCGGCCGGACCACCGCCTGCGCCCGGACTGGTGCTGGCCGCGAGATCACCGGCGAAGATGATCGAAAAGGGCTGTGGACGTCGAGATGCTGGAGATCGGCGATCGTCTCGGTCCCGTTCAACGTCGCCCTGGTCGCTGTCGCACCTGCAAGTCGCAGGATACCGGTGTTTGCCTGACGGTGAATCCGGAGCGCCATGGCGGTGCCTGCGGCTATGTCAGATATGGGCGGATGGATCGGCGGTCAGGCGCTATGTCACCGTGCCCTATGCCGATTTCAACCTGCTGAAGCTGCCCGGATCGCGACCGGGCGCTATTCAAGATCCGCGACCTGACCATGCTCTCCGACATCCCGGGCCGACCGGGTTCCACGGCGCGATGATGGCTGGGGGGCGTCGGTTCGACCGTCTATGTCGCGGGTGCGGGCCCGGTCGGGCTGGCTGCCGCCGCCTCGGCGCGCATCCCGGCGCGGCGGTCGTGATGATCGGCGATTTCAACCCGATCGCTCGCCCATGCCGCCAAGGTCGGGTTCGGAGCCGATCGACCTGTCGAAGAGCGATCGTCTGGGCGATCTGGTCGCGGAGGTGATCGGTACCGACGAGGTGGACAGTGCGATCGATGCCGTCGGGTTCGAGGCGCGCGGGCACACCGGCGGCGAGCAGCCCGCCGTCGTGCTCCAACCAGATGATGGAGATCACCCGCGCGGCGGGCCTGATCGGCATTCCGGGCCTCTACGTCACCGAAGATCCTGGCGCGGTCGACAGCGCGGCCAAGCAAGGCAGCCTGTCGCTACGCTTCGGGCTCAGCTGGGCCAAGGCGCAACCTTCCACACCGCCAGACGCCGGTCCTGAAATATAACCGCCAGTTGATGCAGGCCTGGCCTCCACGATCGCCTGCCGATCGCGGACATCGTCAATGCGCGCGTCATCAGCTCGGACGACGCGCCGCAGGGTTATGAGACATTCGATCAGGGCGGCGACCAAGTTCGTCCTCGATCCGCACGATATGCTCGCCGCCGCGTGATGGCGGGCGGACGGTCAGGTAATGGTGCCCGGGCCGTCATCGAAGTTCCGATGGCGTCATCCCCCACCGGTGCGGGCGGGGGCCGGGGGCCGTGTCTGCGGGACCGTGATGATCGGATGGGATGAAGGAGGATGAGCCAGGTCCGGTTTCGTCATCAACCGACCCGTCTTTTTCGGCGCGGTCGGCATTATCATGGTCCTGCTGGGGGGGGCACGTTCTTGCCGCAACAGGCGGATGCGTTTCTGACCGTCGTCGAAAAGGGCATTCTGGCCCTGTGTCGGCTGGTTCTACCTACTTGCGGTCGGTGTCTTTCCTATTGTCGGTCCACGATCCTGTGCTTCAGCCGCTTCTGGCGACCTGAAGCTGGGGCCGGACGATTGCGAACCCGATTTCCGTTTCGTGTCCCGGTCGCGATGCTGTTCGCGGCGGGCGAAGGGCATCGGCCTGATGTATTATGCGGTGGCCGGAGCCGATCGCCCGCATTCACCACGCCGCCCGACGCCACGCCGCGCAGCATCGCCGCATTGCAGGAGGCGATGAGCATCACCTTCTTCCACTCAGTATCATGCCGGTCGGATCTATTCGGTGGTGGGGCTGTCGCTGGCCTATTTCATTATCGCTACAATCTGCCGCTGACCATCCGATCGGGTCTCATCCGCTGCTCAAGGGAGCGGATCAAAGTGACGGATCGGCGGTGCGGTCCGATATTCCCGCCATTTGCTGCACCGTTTTCGCCGGCGACCTCGTTGGGATTGGGCGTGCAGCAGGTCAATGGCGGGCTCAACTATCTGATCGGCCTGCGGTAAGAGCGTGCCGATCAGGTGCTGTTGATCGTCATCATCTCCGGCGTGGCGACGCTGGCAGCGGTGCTGTCGGGCCTGTCCAAGGGCATCAAGCGGATGAGCGAGCTCAACATCCCTGCTCGCCATCGGCCTGATGCTCTTCGTGCTGGCGACCGGGCCGACCATCCAGCTCATGCGCGATCTGGTGCAGAATATCGGGCTATCTGTCCAGCTTCGTGCCGCGCACCTTCAACCTCTATGCCTATAAGCCGACGCCGTGGATCAACGACTGGACGCTGTTCTACTGGGCGTGGTGGATGTCCTGGGCCGTTCGTCGGCATGTTCATCGCGCGCATTTCGCGCGGGCGCACGGTGTGAGTTCATCCGCCGTCCTGTTGCTGCCATCGGCCTTCACCTTCCTCTGGATGACGGTGTTCGGCAACACCGCGCTGTTCCCCGGATCAGGGCGTCGCGGCCGGAGCGATCTCGGCGGCAGTGGCCGACAATGTCTCGATCGCGCTGTTCAAATTCTTCGCCTATCTGCCGTTCAGCGGCGCGACGACGGCGCTCGCCATCTTCATGATTTGCATCTTCTTCATCTCGTCCGCAAAGCTCAGGCTCGCTGGTGATGGACATCATCGGTCGGGCGGCCGGACCGAGACGACCAAGATGCAGCGGCTGGTTCTGGTGCGTGCTGGAGCGCTGGTCACCATCATCCTGCTGATCGCGGGCGGCTCGCCGCGCTGAAGAGCCGCGATGATCATCGCCGCCCTGCCGTTCGCGCTGGTGATGCTGGCGCTGCTGGTCGGGTTGTTCTGGGGATGCGGGCGGACCGGGGCGCAATATGCCATGGAGGAGGGCGTACCTCGCCGGGCGTCGAGCCGTCACGGCAGACGCGTCTGTCGCTGGCGCTCAACAAGCCCGAGGCGCGCGACGTGACCAGCTATATCGCGACGACCGTCAAGCCGGCGCTGGCGGCCGTCGCCGCCGAACTGACCCAGCGCGGTCGCCCGACCCATATGGTCGAGGAGGGTCGCGAAACCCGCCTCGTCTCGCCAGCGGGCGATGGGCATCGCGGCTTCCTCTATGGCGTACGACCGGCGGAGCGGGCGCTGGCGGCCTTTACCCGCTGGAGACGCTCGATCTGGCAGGTGCGGCACGAGGCGCGGACCTTCTTCGCCTGTGGCGGCTGGGGGCTATGACATCATGGGGCTGAGCGAAGAGCAGGTCATCGCCGATATCCCGTCACCAGTTCGAGCGCTATCTGCTGCTGTCGGGTTCGCCGACGACCAGCCTGCTGACGCGCGCGCCCGAGCATCACGGGCTGGGCGTCCCGGCGTAACCGGCGGGGATGGGCGTTGGCGCCCCGCCCCATCCCGCCATCGACATTCCTCCTTTGAAGGAAACGGGCATGGTATCGCGATTCCTGACCATGGGCGCGTGGATGCGCTCGTGCTGATCCTGCTCATCTCGCCACTATGGCTCCCGCCGCAGACCGCGACGCCGCCATCCCCAACCCGAAGCCGCCCAGACGGGGGGCGCCACCGACTGACGCGGGCAGACGAACGTTCCGCCGGACGGAGGTGGCACCCCCCAAGCCGCCCTGGCCAAGATCGCCTTGCCACAACCCGCAGCAGCGTCGAGGCGAAGCTGAAACTGGCGGGGCGATTGGGGCCGTTACGATCTGCGCTTCAACGATGTGGGCGCGGACGGCCAGCGGCGAACGTCGCAGCATCTGTCGTTCGACACGCTGTTGCTGACCGCCGATTACGATTCCTTCGGTGATCTTCGGTTCGGCGCAATATCGCTTCTATGGCGGCAGCTTCATCTGCGGCTGCGCCAATGGCTATGACGTCTATCCGGGTGGAGGTGGAGTTTCCGATGTACGCCCTGTCGGCGCGAAACTGGAGCGCCGAGGACAAGGTGACGGTGGGGCTGCAACCGGTGCCATTCGACGATCGCTGGTGGGGATCGGCCTCTTCAACAGCCCGGGCTTTGTCTCCAGGCATGGAAGAGGTCTATAATCTGGGTATCAGCGCCTCGCATCAGGGCAAGAAAGGCGGGGTTCGATATCGGCTTTTTCTGGCGCGGCGCCCAATGCCCTTCGGGATCAGCAGGGACAGCGCGCTTCACCGTCAATCTGGTCCGTGCCGACGGTTGCGTCCCTGGTGGCACCCAGACCGCCGAGCGCAACATGATCGTCGGCGGACCAAATATCAGGTGCCGCTGTCGGCCACGCCTGTTGACCCTGACCGGCTCGGGCTGGATCTCCCTCGGTCCCGCAATTTCGAGACCGGGCGCGACGGCTATCGCCATGCCGCGCGTTCAGCGCCAAGGTGGAGGATGGGCGCTGGCACGGCAAATTGCTGGCGGCGCGGCAGATTATCGATCCGCGCGGCCTGGGCCCAATGATGGGTCTCGGTCGGCGATTATGACGCATCCTATAACATCGCCGCGCGTGGCGATGCTCTTTCGGCGAACTGGGCCGCTCGATCGACACCGGCAAGCTGCCCTTCGAGCCAGCCTATACGGCAATTATGCGCGCTTCCCTGAAAAGCGGGGCAGCTTTCCCGACAGCGAGCGGCTGACCCCGGGCGCCTTCTGGACCGACAAGGCGACGCACCGCATCCGCATCTGGTCCGACCTGATGATCGGGCGCAACGACCCTATGTCGGGGCGGGCCAGTTCGTCTCCGGCGCGGCGCAGGGCGGCGACAACAGGGTCAAGACGTCGTTACTGATCCTGATGGGCTATTATTTTAGATCGTCCGCCGCTTCGCCCGGTCGCCGCCGGAGAGGCCCCGCGGGTCTCGAACGGCGAATGGCCGAAGTGGCGCGGAACATGCGGCTCATATGCGAGGAGTCGCAAAGCCGCAGGTGACGGCGATCGTCGTGGATCGACCGGTCGGTCGTCTCCAGCAGGTGCCGCGCCAGCGTCAGGCGCAGGTCCATGAAGGCGACCGCGGCGACAGCCCCGAGCGCGCTCTGGAAGCGGCGTTCGAGCTGGCGCTTGCTGATCTTCATCCGCTCGGCAAATGGCGACCGACAGTGGCGTCTCGATATTCTGCGCGACTGGCAACGCGCGCAGGACGATCGGGTCCGCGTCTTAAAGTCGAGCGGCAGGCCCGGCTGCGGCTTGTCGGCGGTCAGCGGATCGTCGATGATCATGATGTGCAGGCTCTTGCTCGCCTGCGCCCGCCTGACATACTTTTCGACCAGATGCCGCCAGATGCGCCGAGCTGGCCCCGCCCGAACAGGTCAGGCGATCGCGGTCCACCACGAAGATCTGGTCCGACACCGGGTTCAGCCCGTCGAACTGCTCCAGAAAGTCGCGATGGTGGAACCAGCTCACGCAGCATTTATAGCCGTGCAGCAGCCCGCCCGGTGGAGCAGGAAGGCGCCGGTACACACGCCGACCAGCGGCACGCCCGCGCGCGCGCCCCGGCGCAGATAATCGATATATTCGCTGCCGAAATCGTCGATCTCGTCGATCAGGCCGCCGATCACCACGATATAGTCGAACCGGGTCGGATCGCCGAAAACGCCTCATTGGTTGAACTGAGACGCCTGAGCTGGACGGGATCGACGCACTCGTATCGGACAGGATCTTCCAGTCGCACAGGATGTGGCGGCTGCGGTCGCTCTGTCCGCAGCCGCCGCAGCACGTCGACGAAATTGGCGAAGGCGCACAGGGTGAAACGCGCTTGGTGAGCAGGAAGCCGACCGACAGGCGCGGCCCCCGGTCCGGTGATGAAAAGCCCGTGTTGAAAGGCGGTGGCGAAAACGATCCCATGATGCGCATCCGATCTTATGCTCTTTCATTCATGTCGTAGAGTTTGCGGGCCATTTGACGCAAATATTCTTTCTGCCCTGTCGATGGTGGCGCAAATTTACTTCCATCGACGGCAAACGGATGCACGTGGTCCGGGGCCCGTTCGATAGCCAACCTTATGTCCGGCGCCGTGAGCCGGCCAGGCGATAGGGCATAGTTTCACGATCAATGACCGGTTCTGCAACCGGCCGGCTCCGCGATGGCGGGGCGCAGCCACCCGGTCCTGTCATGCGAGCACCCGGCCGTGCCGGGCGCTGTTCCGATGATGCCACCGATAGGCGGCGCATCGCCCAGATTGGAGAGGTGACGGATGAAAATTCTCGTGCCGGTCAAGCGGGTCGTCGATTACAACGTCAAGATCCGCGTCAAACCCGACGGGTCCGGGGTCGACCGCCAATGTCAAGATGTCGATGAACCCGTTCGACGAGATCGCCATCGAAGAGGCGGTCCGTCTGAAGGGAAGCGGGCGCCGCCGAGGAGGTGGTCGTGGTGTCGATCGGCCCGGCCCGAGCGCAGGACACGCTGCGCACCGCGCTCGCCATGGGGCGGATCGAGCGATCCTCATCAAGGCCGAAGACGCGGTCGAGCCGCTGAGCGTCGCCAAGCTTCTGAAGGCGGTGGTCGAGACCGAAGCGCCGCAGCTCGTGTTGCTGGGCAAGCAGGCGATCGACGACGACTCCAACCAGACCGGCCAGATGCTGGCAGCGCTGCTCGGCTGGTCGCAGGCGACCTTCGCCTCCGAGATCAAGTTGATGGCGACCGCGCCACCGTTACCCGCGAGGTCGATGGCGGCCTGCAGGTGATCGAGGCGACGCTGCCGACGGTGGTGACGGTGGTCGATCTGCGGCTGAACGAGCCGCGCTACGCCCCGCTGCCCAACATCATGAAGGCCAAGAAAAGCCGCTGGAGGACAAAACCGCCGCCGATTTCGGCGTGTCGATCGCGCCCCGGCTGAAGGTGCTGAAGACCGAGGAGCCCGCCGCGCGCGCAGCGCCGGGGTGAAGGTCGGCAGCGTCGCCGAACTGGTCACCAAGCTCAAGGTCGAGGCGGCCGTCCTTTAAACTGATCTCCGGGAGCGTCGAGATGCCCATTCTTCTGTTCGCCGAACATGACAATCAAGCCCTTGCCGACCAGACCGCCCGCACGCTGACCGCGGCGCGCGATCGGCGGCGATATCGACATCCCGGTGGCCGGGCAGGGTGCCCGCGCCGTGGCGGAGGAGGCCGCGCGGTTGCAGGGCGTGCGCCAAAGTGCTGCTCGCCGAAAGCGACGCGCTGGCCGAACGCACGCCGAGCCGAGCGCGGCACTGATCCTGTCGCTGGCCGGCGACTATGACACGATCATCGCGCCCGCCGGGAGCGCCGGCAAAAGCGTGCTGCCGCGCGTCGCCGCGCTGCTCGACGATGCAGGTGTCCGAGGCGATCGAGGTCGTCGCGCCCGATACCTTCAAGCGGCCCATCTATGCGGGCAATGCGGTCCAGACCGTTCAGACGACCGACGCCAAGAAGGTCGTGACGGTGCGCACCGCCGCTTTCGCCCCCGCCGAAAGCGGGGCGGACGTCGCCCCATCGTCGAGACGGCGGCGGGCGAGGGTTCGGACCAGAGCCGCTTCGTCGAGAACCGCTTCGCCGCCAGCGATCGGCCCGAGCTCGCCTCGGCCAAGATCGCCGTCTCAGGTGGCCGGGCGCTGGGATCGGAGGAGAAGTTCCGCGAGACCATCCTGCCGCTCGCTGACAAGATGGGGCCGCCGTCGGCGCGTCGCGGGCGGCGGTCGATGCAGGCTATGCCCCGAACGACTGGCAGGTGGGCCAGACCGGCAAGGTCGTCGCGCCCGACCTCTATGTCGCCTGCGGCATTTCGGGCGCGATCCAGCATCTGGCGGGGATGAAGGACGCCAAGGTGATCGTCGCGATCAACAGGACGCCGACGCGCCGATCTTCCGGTGTCGCCGATTACGGCCTGGTCGGCGACCTGTTCGAACTGGTCCCCGAACTCGAACGCGCCCTGTGACCGTGACGACGCCATTCGAGACTGCGCCATTTTCCGGGGAGCCCGATCCATGAGTGAAAAAGCCTATGTCATCCGGCTGAGCTGCAGGACCAGCCGGGCATCGTCGCCGCCATCACCACCGCGCTTGCGTCGCTGGGGGCCAATATCCAGGAATCAACCAGTTCTGGGACCGGCAGGC